AGCCCCTGGGGGGGAGGGGAAAGGGGATGGGGGGGGGGCTTCTTTTCTTTCCCCAAACCTAAACCACCAGCACCGTTAAAAAAAACCCACAAGAAAAACGGGAGACTGAAAAGAGCTATTCAACTGTCCCAAACCAAATGGAATTTGTGAATATACTTATGTTCTTTAAAACGATCAAGCTATGGTTCATTTTGCTCATGTGCCCACTCTGCTAGTTAATGGTTCACAGTTGTGTAAATTTTGCATAATCCGTTGATTTTGATTGAGTTACATGTCGTAACAGATTCGAGGACACATTTGGAATCAGTCAGCTCCATGCTCACTCATCAGAATAGTCTTTATAAAGCGATTGAAATGCCCAGCTTACGCTTCATGCAGATTTTTATTAATAAAGACGTGTTTATTGCGCAAAATTTATTTATCCCACATTGCCAGCTGCGTTCTTTACTCGTGAAGTTACGAAATCCAGCTGCTTGGTTTGTTTGTCTTTTTTTTTAATTCATGGTCGCTGAAAGATGAGCAGGGAAAGTGAAATTGCAAACATCTGAATGCACATGGTACTCCAAATTTGTTTCCTCAATGAATGGCAAGTCCGAATTATCTAAGGTACAGATAGTTCAAGCAAATTGGTGACCCCGCCCATTTCAATATTGTTGAAGCAAGCCAAGTAGCAGCTAACATTCTTCGGTTGCTTCCAAGATGGCAGGCACTCTGCTGAGCACTCCACAAGAATGGTCTCATTTGATGCTCCCAACATTCCCACGACGTGGGTACTATTATATTATTCTTTTTTTTTTTTTTTTAAGATTTTATTTATTTATTCAACAGAGAGAGAGAGAGACAGCGAGAGAGGGAACACAAGCGGGGGGGGTGGGAGAGGGAGAAGCAGGCTTCCCGCCGAGCAGGGAGCCCGATGCGGGGCTCGATCCCAGGACCCTGGGATCACAACCTGAGCCGAAGGCAGACGCTTAACGACTGAGCCACCCGGGTGCCCCCTATTATATTATTCTTAACACTACTGTACAAATGAGGCCTAGATAGACTGCAATAACTTGTTCACGGTCCCCCAGTAGTACGTAGCAGGGCTTGGATTCCAACCCAGGCTGGCTGCAAAGCTGGTATTCTTAGATGCTGGGTAATTATCTGTGCATGGGGCTTGAACTCACGACCCCAAGATCAAGAGTTGTATGCTCCACCAACTGAGCCAGCCAGGTGCCCCTATGTGGGCTTTATTAATGCATTAAATAAGAAGATCTAGTGGCGGATCTGTAACTATAATTTCTAAATAGAAAAGAGCATAAATGATATATTGATCGATCTCCAGGGACTGTTATGAAAAGATCTGTGATTTCCACTGGCAGCAATATGCACTATTCTCAGATCAGTTGCCAATTTTCAAATGGAAGGACACGCCCAATTTCAATACAGTTTGGTTAGTGAAAATGAAGATGTAATTTTTTTCCCATCCAAATTCATGGACCATCTAAAGTTTATTCATGGATCTCTGAGTGGAGGTATCTGTGGATCCAGAAGGAAGAATCCCTGCTCCAGAATTTTCTACTAGGTTTTCCTGTTAATCCCTCCCCAAATTACAGTCTTTTTGCCTTTTTTTTTTTAAAGCTGTCAGCAGAGGTGAAACCCAGAAATACCAGATAACCAAATCTCACAGCTGAGTTGCAGAGTTAACAACACTTCTTGATATGAAAGAAAAGGTTTCCAATCCCTTTGTCATCTTTTTTTTTTTTTTTAACCACAGATTTCTCAACTGAGGCGTAATGGTTAGTCATGGTTCCATGGGGCCATGAGCTCTCCAAAGCTAATGACTACGTTTGTTCTTGCCCCCCACGTGATCCTCACAGTGTCTAGTACCTTGCGGGGACTTTATGAATGTTGTTGAATGAATAAGCAACTGATATATGTAAGCTGACAGATCTTTCTTGAGTTTAGCTTGCTATGAAAACCACTGATGATGAATGAAGTCAGTCCTAGCGATGAAAGGATACAAACAAAATCCTATTAATTTTACAATTTGTAAAATGTTCTAAGTGCCATGGATTTATAAAAGGGAAATGAACAGTCCATGGAGACACTGCATAAACAGCATAAAGTTTTAGAAAATTCACCTTTCCTAGACCAACTTGAAGATGCTACTGTAAATGGTAAGTTTATCCTTCTAAGTCAAAATGATTCAGAACCACTTTCGTAAACGAGTCCTTCAGGTCCTCTAACATAGGTGTGGGAGATTTCTGAAGAAACTCAGTTGGCCATTGGTTATGCCTATGTCTGGAACTTGCTTTAGTAGACCACAAAAACGTTCCCAAATCTCACCACCTCTCCTCCCTTCCCGTAGCCATGGCCTCTGCCACGCGTGCCATTATGCATGGTCTCCAGACAGAGGCAGGATGACCTGCCATGTCCCTCGACAATCATGTGGCTACATTTGGCTGATGGTATCTTCAGTAGACTTGATATGAGTAATGGCTTGAAATGGGCTTGTACACTGGGGTTTGCTTGCTTGCACCTCTGTCAGCCATCGCCATGAGATGATCAAGGCTGGCTTGGCGTGCTGGTCCCAGGAGGAGGGTGACAGAAATGTGGAGAAGCGCTGGATTCCCGCCGCCAAGACCAGTGGACAGACAGCTCACAGCCAGCAGATTCTCGGACATGTGAGTCCAGCCAAGATCAGAACTGCCGAAGTGACCCCCAGCTGATCCCCAGCATGCCACCAGAAAAGGTACATCGTTGTGTCCAATGAGGTTTTGTGGGAGTATTTGTTACACTGCATTTAGTGTGACAACGGATAACTAATACAGAGATTGATATCTAGAAACAAGAGTGCTGCCATACCAGAAAATTAGAATATGTAGCATTGGCTTTGGGGACTGGACGGCAAGAAAAGACTGGAGAAGTGGCAGGGCACACTATTTAATGGCAAACATTTGGTCCCGTTGTCACCTGCAGTAAGTGAGAAGATAGAGAATATAATATACCTGTTGAATTTGGGACTTGAGCAAAGAGATTAATTCTGGGCAGAACAGTGAAAGTGCCTTACGGGCTGCATATGATGAGGTCCTATAAGGAAGAGACAAACTCACACAAGAACTGGCCATTTTCTAAATGGAATTTCGAGAGAATAGAGCAAACTGAAGATGTGCTGAGTTAGATAACATTTCTCACCTCCAACCAGCAAAGGGTTTCCAAAGTAAGACAGAAGCCGGGGGACAAAGGTCATACCCAGGGATGTGATCTCAGGGGGAGGACCGAATGAGAAATGAGGGGTGTGAATGTAGGGTTCTTCGTTAAAATCTCCGAAAGAATTAAGTTGGCGCCACGTAGGTTCTCCAGCTGGACAAGGATTCCTAGGGACGTCAAGGGATTCAGCCACAGAAGGTTATATGCCAAAAGTGCCTACAATGGGGTTCAGAGGAAAGGAGAGTCTCTGAAAGAATTGTGGGTGTGGCTTTCGGCACACAGACTCACAAAATTTTGCACACGGCTCTACCAGCAAACCTGTCATCCCCCTCGACTAAAAAGAGCCCTACTTTTGGTAGGCGGGAAGCAGGCTGAGAGAGTTTCACAAAAGTACCTTTTCCACTACTTTTTGGAAGGGGCTCAGGCAGCTGATGGGAAGGATGCTGCAGTGGGCAGAGTCAGGAGCCAGGAAGCTGAGCCGAGGCCTAATCAGGGAACATTCTCTGTCCCCAGAGTGAGGGGACCTGGGGACATGTGCCCAGAGGGATTCTAGAAACCCGTGGAGCTGTGAATGCCAAGTGCCTCCCATTCTTCTCTTTTCGAACAGCAGGGTAACTGGAAATGCCCTGGTTCCATGTCACCGCTGTACATTGGGAATGTAGGAACAGACGACTTGTCTTTTTACTTCAAAGGAACTCTAGGTCAAGAGAAGCCATATCCGGACCCAGGGGAGATCACGGGATCCTGGGTGTTTGAGCCTGATCCTGTGATGGGGTGTGACTTATGTGGGTCTTAGGAAGGCATTATTAAATCCACATGTCAGAGTTGTGCGTGACAGTGTGGTGGACTGTGGTGGTTTGCAAAAATGGTCCCAATTCTTCACCCTTCCTCCTATCTCTGGCCTTTGCCCTGTAACCTCGTGGTGACCTCCCAGCGTGGGTGAGGCCAGCCCCATCCCTGACGCCAGGCCCCACCACATAGCCTGCTTCAACCAATGGGATGCAAGCAGAGGCCTGAAATGGGCTTACCCACTGGGATGTGCTTGCTTGTACCCCTGCCACTGTCATGAGAAGGACAAACCTGGGGTAGCCCACTGTTCCAAAAGGAGGATGAGAGGCACGTGGAGCAGAGCCGGACCAGCCCCAGCTAAGGCAAGTGGACAGCCAGCTAACCCCCAGGCAGCCGATCCCCAGCCAAGGTCAGGGGACACCCAGCCTTTCCCCGCCACAGGTGATTGAGCCCAGTCAAGATCAACAGAGCGTCTAGCCAACTGGCTAGACATGAAGTATGTGAGCAGTAATTGATTATAATCTGCCACTGAGCTTTTGTAGGGCTTATTACACAGCATCACTGCATCCATAGCTAACTGATACACTTGCCAGAAGGAAACGTCCATGCTTTGTTAAGTGACCTACCTGCCGAGTTTTTCCATGAAGCTATCGCATGCTGACCTAATCTGAGTATACTTCAAAAATGACCGGAATGCAGAAACTATGCAGACATTTATTAAAAACGCACTGTTTATAGTTATCTCTCGATTTCATTTAGCTCACCTCCTCATTCAATACTTTACTAGTGACTAAGTTATAAAGTTGCCTAAAGATAGAGATGAGGTTATGAGCGCCGTGTTTTTTTTTTCCCTCATCGACCGAGAAAGGCTCTTCTGGGTGGACGCAAAGCGAACCTGCACACCGTGCAGTGAGCAGACGTCCCCCGTTCGTCTACTTGGGCCGTGACTCAGTGCTTTAAGGTGCTTTTCAGTAGCTGGTGGTGAGGAGCCCAGCGCGAGGGCAGCAGGAGGGACCTACCTGTGTGGGACCGCAGGTGGACGGTGAGCTGGCTCGAGTTGCGGCTGGCGTAGGGGCAGATCTGGCATTTGAAGGGCCGCTCGTCCGAGTGGATCCGCAGGTGCTTGTTAAGGCTGCTGCTGTCGGCCGCGGCGTAGTCACACGTCTTACACTTGTACGGCTTCACCCCCGTGTGGCAGCGCATGTGTGTCTTCAGCTTATCCTTCCGGCTGAAGCACTTGCCACAGACCTCACACTTGTGGGGCTTGTCTCCTTCAAACACACACACAGATGGCATCAGAAAACCACCCTGAAGGAGAAAGAGGCTTACTCCCCGCCCCCCCACCTTGCCTTATGATAAGAGGACTACGCGGTCACCCAAGAATATGCAGGAAACCCCAAAAGCTAGATAGAAAAATCTGCCAAGACCTGAGCTCTTGGGAGAGGGGGGAGTTTCTTCTATTTTGCCTCTTGCCATTTTCTAGTTTTTCCTACATCGAATGGGGATTCCTTATTAATTAAAAATAGAAGGCGACTCAAATGTCTCAAGGAGAGCTAAGGAAAATAAGGAACTGTTCATTGTCTCCTTCCATTCTCTCCTTTTCCCGTTTTTTTTTTTTTTTTTTTTTTTCCACAGACACACCCTAAAGCTCAGAGGCTCTAAGTTTTCGGAGAGCTCCGGGCTGAGCAGCTCAAGGCTTCCTTTCCCAGCCTGGCCTGCAGCCAGGAGTCATCCTTTGGCGGCGCGGTCCCCGCCAATGAAATGGCAGAGAGGGTCAGTGGGTCCCTTTTGCAAAGTGACGTTGCTTGCCTTTTACTTTCCTCTTTCCGCCCTTCCTGCCAGCTGTCTCCAAGACAAGGGGTGTCCGAACTGGCAGGTGAGGGCGGCTTGCCTGCAGATGGAGGAGCCCTTACCATGATGCGCTTCAGTGACACAGAAGGAACTTAAGTCCCTGGCTGATCTCGTAGGACAGAGCTGCCTACCTGCTCTAGACCACCTGCTTAGCTCCGGACAGTTATGTGAGAGACACATAAACCCCTACCGCGTGTGAGCTGGGGTGGGGGTCTTTGTCACAGCAGTTTCATCTATACTCACTCATGTACTTACTGCCCCCGAATGACTGCTGATTTTTTGATGGATAGCTCTCCAATTATTTGTGCGTGTGTGTGTGTATTTTTGGTACCAAAAAACTTCTTGGCTAACATCAATTTAAATACTTTCTGAAAGGCACGGTGCCTCTCAATGATTCTCCTTAATCCTCTCAACAACTGGGATTAGAACCCACGACTGTCTTGCTTTCTGAGCCCAAATGCAACAATGCCTCCCCATTGACTACTTTCTTGCACATAAAATAATTCCAATCATCTTGTCACATCATTAAATCTCTACAGCATGGTTTTTAAAGCTGAAGTATTTCACTGGATAAATAATTGAACCAGTTCCCTACTGGGCCACCAAAAAGAATGAAGCAGACATGTACTACTGATGTGGAAAGATGACCAATATTAAGTGGAAAACAGCAATTTGCAGTGACAATATATATAATATTAATCTAGTAATAGATGGAAAAAGTAGATTTCTGTGTGTTTTTAGGCCCAGGATAGGTATGCTAAAATTTCAGAATGAGACACTATTAAGACTGGTGACTTTGGGCTTATATTGAATAAGGAAGGGGGCTCTGAATCAGGATTTCCCCTTTTTACTTTATATATTAAATATGTCTTTTGGCTAAATCCTAAACAGCCAGGTGCTAAAATCAATTGTCAGCCAAAGCTGATCACTACCGTTGTAGAGCAAACGTCTGGGATTTAAGAATACACCTAAAAGTGTATGAAAGATTATGATTTTATTAATAAAAAATGTTAGTCAAATTTAAAAATCCACGAACAGGAATTTCTCCTGACTGTCAGCGGCTGATTAGCTCCTGTGGTCGCCGGGCTGTGTATCTGCCCCCCTGGGCAGCCGCCAGATGCTGGGGAAGAAGGATGGTTTCCGGCTAGCTCTGCGGGTGAAGAGCCCCCTAGGGCTCCTCCTGGCCATGGCCTCCTCTCCGAAAGTAACTAAGGTGAGGACACCTTGTCAACTCTCCGCCTTGATATTATTGGAGTTGCTGCAGTCACAGAGAAACCACCCTACGACCCTAAGCTGGGCTACCTGCGTGTATAAGGTGCTTCCTGAAGATCTGCAGAAACGGACTTAAGGTCACTGCTTCACTTATGTGTTTCGATTGTTTTCTTAATCCTCGTGAATAATGACAGCACTTTACTCTGGCAAGGATGAATATGCTGTGCTTGACTCGACTGACGGGATTCATGTTGAACCCACAGGGAGAGATTCATTGTTACGTCGAGAATGCTTACCAATACTTGAAACTTAATATTCTGATAATTGGAATAAATCCAAATGACGTGACACAGTGAGGTTGGTTAGAACAGGATGGTGACCCCAGTACGGCAAGGCAATCACTAGCCATGGCTGACAAATGTCAGAAATCACTGCTGGAGATTTCATCTTCCAAAGGTGGAGGCAGACTTTGGGCAATGAGTGACGCCCCCGCCAAATGTCAGTGGACCCCGACCTTATACACATTTATACACTCCGCAGTCACTCTCTCTCATTTGAATTATGAGTATCTAATACTTTGTTAAAAATAATCTAAATACAGTTCCTTCTCCATTCAGAAAATCTGGGAGACATAAAAATAATATATTAAAGAAAATTAAAATCACCAGAAATAAGTACATTTTTCTTTTCCATGCATCAATCTTTCCTCTCCTTTTACTTTTTTTTTTTTTTTAAGTAATCTCTACACCCCACCTGGGGCTTGAACCTATGACCCCAAGATCAAGAGTCACACGCTCCACCACCTGAGCCACCCAGGCGCCTCATCAATCTTTCCCTCTCCTTTTATTATTTATTTTTAAAGACTTTATTTATTTGAGAGAGAGAGAGAGAGAGAGAGCAGGAGCAGGGGGGAAGGGCAGAGGGAGAGGGAGAAGCAGACTCCCCACTGAGCAGGGAGCCCAACGTGGGGCTCGTTCCCAGGACCCTGAGATCATGACCTGAGCTGAAGGCCAATGCTTAACTGACTGAGCCACCCAAGCGCCCCTTTCCCTTTCCTTTAAAAAAAAATATTTACTAAATTTCACCTTCAAAATGGCAAAAATAACACACACACACTCTGTATCCAGTGATACAGTAGAGATACATAAAAAAAATTTACTATTCTTCACCTTTATTCTTTTATCAATCATTACAAATATACACATTTATAGGACCATCGCTTCAAAATAAGAATATGTACATTTAAATTTTAATTAATTCTGGCAGATTAATTGTCAAAATGGTTGCAGCCGTTCACACTTCCACTAGCTAAATTTGCTCATATCTGCTCCAGCACTGGATTTTATTGCTTTACACAGTTTCTGCCAAAATCATGTACAGATACAGCATCTTACTTTTACTGAATTTGTGTTTGTGACAACCAGCGAGATTCCATGTCCTATCACATGTCTGACTTGTCCAGATCCCTGGCTCCTAGCACAGAGCACATGCTCCGGGCTTATATGCCACAGAAATGTCACTTACCAGTGTGAATTTTTAAATGACGCTCCATGTCCTTCATGCCATAGGCAGTCTTGAATTGGCAACCTTAAAAAGGCAAGAAAAGATCAATTACAAAGGGAAACACAGTAACCTAAGGGTGGAGAAACCTGGCAGAAACTTCCTTAACCAAGTGATGAGCGTAAAGCCTGCAGTAAGCAGGACAGACGGGTATCACGTGCCTCCTGATACGATGCACCAAGAAGGACATACATCACGTCTGTGCTTCCTGCCCAAACTGCAGAGCCTAAATGTCATCGTGAGGAAACATGAGACAAATCCAAACTGAGGAACATTTTACAAAATAACTGGCCTGTACTTTGCAAAAATGTCTAGGTCATGAAAGACAAAAATTTAGGATTCAAGGAAACTAAAGAGACGGGAAAAGTCAAAGCAATGTGTGATCATGAATTGGATCCCAAACCAGGGGAAAATGTTTTTCTTTTGCTATTGAGAACATGAGTGAGAAGTTAATAAAATCTTAATAAGGTCAGTGGTTTGATAATAGTGTGTATAAATGCTAATTTCCTTTTTTTTTTTTTTAAAGTAAACTCTCTGCCCAACGTGGGGCTCGAACTCACGACCCCGAGACTGAGTCCCATGCTCCTCCAAATGAGCCAGCCAGGCGCCCCTAAATGTTAATTTCCTGATTTTGATGATTGTGCTGTGGTTTATAAAAGAACTTCCTTGGTTCTATCAAATATACATTGAGGTATTTAGGGGTAAAGGGACATCGGGTCTGCAACTTACTCTAAAATGGCTTTGGGGGAAGAGTATGTATATACAGAAAGAATGATAAAGCAAATACAGTATGTTAACATTTGGGAAATCCAGAAGAAGGGCATACATAAATTTTCAGACTCAGCTTTTCTGTGAGTCTGAATTTATTTCCAAATCAAAAGTTATTACTATTTTTTAAAGGAAACAACAATCTTTCTGGATGTCTTCCTAAGCCATAGTACAGAAAGAAAAATTCACAGTAACCTGGATCCTCATGAATCCCATTTGAAAGGCCCGTGTCTGTAAAAGTCTTACAGTCCACGTGCACGGTGACCAGGGACAGCGAGAGATGGATCATATGTGATGATGTAAATGCTGGGGCGGGGGGCGGCTCTGATTTTTAAGCCAGGCAGTTTAGAACACGTCTATATCCAGTTGTCAGGAATTCACGAGCTAGAGCCCTGGAATCTGTTACATGTTACATCCTCTATATAAGCAGGACACAATGCTGTCTTTACCTGGATAGCAACAGTTAAGCCTTTTCTGAGCAGGTGGTGCTGTGGGCTTTTTGGCACGGGACTTGGCAGGGAGAGAGATGACAGTGGCTGTCTGGTTTTCATTGCTTTCCGTGGGCAGATAAGTTTGATAGCCATGTTCAAAAACAAATTCTGGAGCTGAAACTAAAAGACAGGATGATTATTAGATTTCATAATATGAATACCCAACAGCTGTTCCCTTTGCCTACCTTCCTTTCTAGAGAACGAACAGGCTAAATTGCTTCCCCAGTCTCCTTTGCTGCTTAAGGGTAATCCTGTGACCCCATTCTAGTCAGTGAGACACTAGAGAACATCTTGGGGGGCTTCTGGAAAAGATTTTCTCCCTGATTAAAAAAAAAAAAAAGAGGCGGTTGAGGAAAAGCTCATTCTTGCTGTCCTTGTTGCCCATTTCCTATCTTTGCTGGAGTGAGGACGTGATGCTTAGATCTGTGGCAGCTATTCTGTAACCATAAGGGGAGAGGAAGAAACTCTGATGTTGAGCCAGAGTTCTGAAAGTATCCAAATCTAGACTTATTAAATAAACAAGAAAGGCCCCTGTCATTTATACCAGGCAAGCTTTCTACTATCTCCAGCCAAATGCATTTGGTACTTTCATAAGCTTTATCACAAAATCCTAACAAACAGCTGGAAAGAAACTGATCAAAGGAATTCTGGCCCAAACTACAAGCACTCTCTAAAAACACAAATATTCCTAAAAGAAATCCTTGTATTCTTACTGAAGTTTTCAGAGGGACAAAAAGAAAGACCAAACATCTTTATCATCTTTATCTTTATATTTATCATCATAAAAGATAAAATAGGTAGTCTCAAATTTCTTTTTCTGCTTATAGATTTTTGTGACTACTTTGTTAACTAAATTTATGGTTTTGGGTTTGGAAATGTTTTCTTCCCTTATTATATATAATTTGTGCCATGCAGATCTGGTTTCACAGGAGGAGTCAATATGAACGGGGGGGGGGGTTCTGTTCGTTGGGTGAATTTGTCAGGTTGAGAGGCCCTAACGATGACTTTGAAAGCCACGGTCATATTCTGTTTCCCAAACCTCAGGCACCGAGGCACCACTTCTGGCACTGTATTTACAGAATATCCTTACTGAAATCGGCGCAGGCCTAACACTTTGCCTCGAGCAGTAATATCCATGTCACAGGTCTGCGGTGCTAGTTATATTTTCTCTTAAAACAAACATCATCTTTCTTTGAATCTTAGATCATATAGATTGTTAGATGCACCGTTATTTTATGTACAATTAAAAAGCTGATTATTATGAAGCAATGCTTTCATATTCCTTATTTTATATTTAATGAAATTCCTTAGAAATTATGTGTTTATGCAACAAATTATTTTCAATTTCTTTGGGCATCTGTTAAGGAACCCATGCTCCTCCAAATGAGCCAGCCAGGCGCCCCTAAATGTTATTTATGTTAACAAATTATTTTCAATTTCTTTGGGCATCTGATAAGGAACCCAGGTTCCTTATCTCCCCCTCTCGAGCACCTCCGGCAATGACAACATCACTGATGTGGGTCCAAGAGCACCTGGGTTCGACCAGCATTTTCTATTGAAGTAAATGGTCTCAGGGTTTCAATTGCAACATGCACGGGGAAGTTAAGTGGCTTTTGTTTAAAGTTGGCCAGAAGATTCTGACAAATGGATGTTCTGTCTTCACGCCAAGTCCCTTGGATGCCTGGATGAACCACACCTCCCTCTTGTTGAAATGTTTCATCTACCCTGTGGGGTTTGGCTTTTGTTCCTGCTTCCACTGCTCTGCTCAGTTCTCAAAACGGGGTTCCTAGACATTAGCACTGGACCTATGGAGGAACCTGCTACAAAGGTAGATCCTCAGGCCCCGCCCCAGTGCACTGAATCGGAACCTCTGGGGTGGACCCAGCCCAGCAACCCTGTGTTCTAACAAGCCACCCAGGTTGTTCTGATATGTAATCAAGTTTGAGAACCACGGTGTACATTGTCCTTTTCCATGTACCTCATCAGTGAAACTTAACCCAACTCTGTCTAATGGAGGGAATCCTTCTTTCCCAGTTGCTGCTTTGCAAGAAGCGCAGCTGTTTCTCCAACAACCATTTGCTTCATTAATATCAAGTGGATGCCCCCGCTACTGTTTGCAAGTATTTCTAGGTACATGGTTACTTCTCATCCGTAACCACAATCATCACCCAATGTCTTGGAAGATGTTTCAACGATGAAGCTCAATACACAGAGTTCCAAAAAATGCACACCGCTCTGCCGAAGTGACAGAACGTGTTCAACGATGTTCAAGTTTGTTCACGGGCTCCCAAAGACATGTTTCTTCTTTTGGTGACTGCCTCTTGGTTGACAGCAATCTCATTGATTCTGATGTGCACTTCCATTTCAGATATGCTAAAATCTATCTTTCAATTGATATGAGTCCAGGTCTGGCCACTTACTGGGTGTGTGACCTTAGGCCAGGTACATACCTCTCTTTTTTTAAAAAAAAATTTTATTTATTTATTTTAGAGAGAGAGCAAGAGAGAAGGCACGAGTGAGTGGGGGAGGGGGAGAGAGAGAGAGAGGATCTCAAGGAGATTCCGAACTGTGCAGGGAGCCCAACGCAGGGCTTGATCTCAAGACCCTGAGACCATGACCTGAGCCGAAACCAAGAGTCAGATGCCTAACAGACTGAGCCATCCAGGTGTCCCTACATAATCTTTTTGAGCCTCACTTTCCTCACCTGGGGACTGGGGGCAATTTCTATTCCTACCTCTTAGGGCTGCTGTGAAGATTAAAAATCAGGCACATAACACGGCTGGTGCTGTCGTCATTATTCACAGACTTATCCAGCAAATATTGATGGAGCACCTGCTGCTCTAAGCACTAGAAACACATCAGTGAGCCAAAGGGACAACAATCCCTGCCTTCGTGGAGCTGACGCTCTAGCTGGGAGTGGTGCAAGCAATAGATAATTCAAACATTCGCTATATAGCTTATACAGATATAGAGCTAAATGCTATGGAGAGAAATAAAGCAGAGAAAGGGCACAGGGAGTGCTGGGGGGCATGCAATTTTAAGTAGGGTGATCCATGAAGGCCTCAGTGAGAAGGTGACCTTTTGGAATGTGGAAGCACCTAATTATTAATCGTTTCTGTTGCAGGTGGCTGGAAAACAACAGCCAACAAAGGGGCCTTGGGGCATCTGGTTACTAAGTCTTGCTGGAGCCTCTTGGCTGGCTTTGTAGAGGGTCATCCTCTCCCATCTATCTCCCACACCTGGCTTCTTTCCAGGATGCCCTGGGAACAGCAGAGCCTACAGACACCCCAGGGAAAGGCTTCAAGTGGCCTTGGTCACTGGAGGGCTGCCTCAGGCCCTTTAGGTGTGATCTGAGGTTAGAGTTGCACTCATTCCCAGATGTGTAGAGTGCCACTGACCTGAGGCCAACTCTTTGCAAGAGCTCAGAGCCTCATCTCCTCTGGCTTGGCTATTAAAGTCAAGTCCCACGTTTACTGAGATGAGCCCCCATGCCCTCCACTAGCTCACGGCCTCACACACCTGCTGCGGGCTTTGGCTTTGTTCTTTTTGCCTCCCGGGGATTTCCCTTGCTGTGCTGTGTGTCCGGGTGTGCACCCGAGAGCCTGTTTGTTGCAGTTAGTCCTGGTCTGTAGCAGGAGCCCCTAAGGTGTCCAGTGACGCAGTTATGATGCTGCTTAAAATCTAAGACTGTTAGGGGCGCCTGGGTGGCTCAGACGTTAAGCATCTGCCTTCGGCTCAGGTCATGATCCCAGGGTCCTGGGATCGAGCCCCGCATCGGGCTCCCTGCTCCGCGGGAAGCCTGCTTCTCCCTCTCCCACTCCCCCTGCTTGTGTTCCCTCTCTCGCTGCCTCTCTCTCTGTCAAATAAATAAAATCTTAAAAATAAATAAATAAAATGTAAGACTGTTATATGAATGTCACAGAGAACCAAAATCTTTCTCTCTGAGGTCGTACCCACTGGTGTCTGAACCTGCTGGGCTCATGTGGACCACTGGTGTGGCTCCTTTTCCAAAAAGCTGCCCTTCAGATAGCTGAAGACAGTTTTCACATCTTTCAGCCCATTTTGCTTCTACCTTCTTTTCTTCAATTTAAAAACTCCACTTTTTCTTTTCTTTTTAAATTAAAAACGTATATATATTTTTTAAGATTTTATTTTTAGGTCATCTCTACACCCAACGTGGAGATCAAGAGTCGCATGCTCTATCGACTGAGTCAGCCAGGCACCCCTGTATTGTTTTTTTTTTTTGAATAAAAGTAAACACTAATTGTAGAAAATTTAGGGAGTACAGATTAAATGTAGAGAAGAAAATAAAAGCTGCCCAAAGCGGCCATGGCAATATATCACATGACTATATATACCCCTTCATTATATGCTCATTATATACTGTACTTTTTCTCTAAAGCACTTATCTCTACTGTGATTAAATAATTACTTGGGAAATTATTGAATGGCCATCCTCCTCCCTTTGGTTGGATGAACCACCTGAGGACATGCCTGTCCTCTCCATCACTGTTCCCCAGCACCTAACGCAGAACTTGATAAAGGACAGGGGCTTAAAGGACATTTGTGAATTAATGACCAACCGAATGGCTAAGACATTCTTTGTATAGAGATTTTAAAAGTATAAAACTGGCATCATGGCTTAAATCATTTATAGTCTCCTTTTCTGTTAAAAAATTTTGCCATGTGAAGCTGTTTGGCACACTATCGTCCATCCAAAACACGATTTCAAATGGCTACATACTATTCCTTCATTTTGGTTGTGGCATGGCTAAATGATGTATTCCCCTGTCTTTGACACTGAGTTGGTTTCTAGGTATTATTTTTATAAATAACACCTGCCCCTAATTTTTAATTGACCTCTGGATTTTTTTGGCTACATTCCTCTAAAAGTTGAAGAATTGGTCAGAATGGTATGGTCAGTTAATTGCTTGCTGACACTTAATTATAAGATCCTTACCAAAAATCTAAATCAATTTACATTCTCCCTTTACTTTCACTAGCTCTCGCGGGCTATTTGATAGGACAAAATGAGATCAGTTTAGTGTCATGTGCATTTCCTTTATAATTGGTGAGGATGAATCCCTTTCAACATTTTTTATCCATCCCCATACCTTCTA